CGGCAGTGGACGCTCCATCTAAACAAAGCTTGAGTGCCGTGAACGTAGTCTAAACAGCGCCTGCAAACTGCATTCAGGGCGCCGTGAACGTAGCCTGCCAACTACATTCACGGCGCCGTGAACCTAGCCTGCAGACTACGTTCACGGCGCCGTGAACCTAGCCTGCGGACTACGTTCACGGCTCCGTGAACGTAGCCACTGTGTATTTTAATTCAGTTTAGATTAGATAGATTCTAGATCTAGATCTAGTTCTCTAGATTCTAGATCTAGACTTAGATCTAGATTCTAAATAGATCTAGAGAATCTAGATTCTAGACTACAGTAGTACAGTTCCAGTTCACTTCGTACTGGTCCTGGTCATTCTGAATTCTCTTCTCACTTCTCGTCTTCTGTCTTGTGTTAGTCAACTAGATTAGATCTAGACTCTAGATTCTAGATCTAGATCTACTTACTGTCAATTTCTTCAATCAGACTGGCTGTTCCAGGTAAATAATTCATGTTTTGATTTAGAAATGTAATCAGTCTACACGATGTTGTTCTGGGAAGCAATTCCAAAGAAAACTATGAGAACTCATTGATTGTCTCCTCATGTAGCAGCCATTATTGTTTACAAGACAAATTTTCAGCCAAACCGCGTTTTCGTTCAGCAGAAATCACGGTCTGGATGCTTCTTCAATAATTAAAAAATTTTTTTTTTACCGTAAAAGTTGAACACGGTACAGATGGCAATACAACAAGGAGATTTTAGTTCTAAGCTCCTTGCAATACAACAACTTTTACGGATTCGAAGTCTGACTTCAACTCATAGTCTAATACTTGTTCCATGTATAATATAAATGGTTTGATAATACAGTGTATACAGCTGGGACGTCTGAAAAGTGGGGACGACACACAGAATTCTACACTAGAAAATATAATTGTTCCGTACTTCACGAATAAGTCCTAATCAGGAAGAGCTGGAGCTTAGAGGGGGCGAGTAAGGATCCGATGGGCGAAAACATCAGATGCCTAGCTGTGATTTTACCTTTCGGTAGTCACCAAGGACCTAACACTCTTTTCTCTACTCTCGCATGCTCAGCACCTCGACCCCCTCCACTAAAACAACACCCCCCCCAAAAAAAAACAAAAAAACAAACAAACAACAACAACAACAAAACAAACAACAGCATAAAACAACACAACAAACAAACAAACATACACCCCCAAAAAAAACAACAACAATAAACAAACAAACACCCAACAACCCCCCCCCCCCCAACCCCAAACAAACAACCAAACAACCAACCAACCAACCAAACAAAAATTAATAACAAAAACAAACATCATCAGTCTTTTGCGGGCTCTAACAACACTATATAATGGTACCCCATTTATTTCATTTCTAATAATTTCCCTTTCATTTAATTTTCTACAGTCTCTCTCTTGACAAAATAAACACATGTACGAAGACAAATTAATATAAAGCTATAATTCTGGTAAAAGTTCGATAAACGTCGGCGCAGGAAGCAGAAAGTTATCTGGGGAAAAAAATAATGATGTTTGATGATAGGTGGGAGAGCTATACAACTACAACAACTTTATTTCAACCGTTTACGGCGCTTGCTTCTATGTTCGAGAGAGAGAGAGAGAGAGAGAGAGAGGAGGGATGAGAGACAGAAGGGATGAAAGAGAGAGGAAGGATGAGCGAGAGAGAGAGAGAGAGAGAGAAAGAGAGAGAGAGAGAGAGAGAGAGAGAGAGAGAGAGAGAGAGAGAGAGAGAGAGGGGGGGGGATCGAGGAGGTAGAGAAAGAGAGAGAAGAGGGGTTAGGGAGAGAGGAGGGATTACACACACACACACACACACACACACACACACACACACACACACACACACACACACACACACACTCACACACACACACACACATAGAGGGAGAGGGAGAGGGAGATGGAGAGAAAGAGAGAGAGGGAGAGAGATACAGAGAGGAGGGATGAGAGAGAGAGGAGGGATGAGAGAAAGATAAAGAGAGGAGGGATGAGAGAGAGAAGGAGAGAGAGAAAGAGAGAGGAGGGATGAGCAGAGAAAGTCTGATTCCCTGTAAGGACTTCTCTGTTGACATCCACCCCTTGGTGCTCATATGACCTTAGGCAGTTGCGAGCGCAATAAAACCTCTACTGAAACAAAACAAACAAAAAAGACTTATTTCCCAGACAAATACCTCCTGTAGATGTCATGTCTGTGGGTGCTCCTCTTGGTGGTCCAGGTGGTCCTTAAGGAACAATCCAGTATACACGCCACTCCAACATCCTCACACTCAAACTCAAAATCAGCAGGAAGCTCTACCCACACCATTCTACCCCTGCAACCTCCCCCCACTGCCCCCAAAAAAGAAAAACCTACACTGCCCCCTCAACTACCTCCCACCATGGCCATGGCAATACCTACAAAATCCTACTCTGAACCTAGCCTATCCACCTAGCTCCCTATCAATCTATCTGTCTATCTCTACAGCTCCACTGCATCACTTTAAGCCTGAGTGTGAGACACGGAAATCGTGTTGTCTGTGGGTGGTCATCCGGTGACTGGTCCTGGTGATGAAGACGTGTCAATAAATACAATCTTCTTACATCTATACAGTTTGTACTTTTGTTTTAAGAAAATAAAAAATGTAGCTATAATATTGTTTTTTACCGATTTAAAAGGACAAAAAGACATTAATAAAATCTGTCAGAAAATACGTTTCATCATTTTCCTTTAATATCAATATGCAAAAAATCAAACTTACCTTCAAATCATAAAAACCAATAGGTACTTTCCTAATTTCACTTTAATAGTAAATTAACAAATAGAGTTCCAAGACATATTTCCAAGACAAATACCTCCTGCAGATGCTCCTGTCTGTGGGTGCTCCTCCGGCTGGTCTTTCTGTCCGCGGCTGGTCCTGGTGATGAAGACGTGTCAATTAATACAATCGTCTTACATCTATACATACAGTTTGTATTCTTTTTGTGCAAAAATAAACTGTCGCTAAAATATTTTTTCTACTGGTTTAAAAAGCATCAAAAACATTTTTTTAAATTTGTCCAAAAAATATGTTTAATCATTTTCCTTTTTCACCTAAACGCAAAAAAAAATGTTTACCTTGTACTTGTAATCAGAAAAACCAATAGGTGTTTTTCTATTTTTACTTTGGTAGTAAATTACCAAATACAATCGAACCTGCCCTGACGGCCACCTCTACAAGACAGCCACCTGTACAAACGGCCACTTTCCATTTCCCCCCTTGCGTTTTTTAAATATAATTTAACTGTGTAAAACGGGCACCTGTCCAACACAGCCGCGGCCACCATATTTTAACACACAACCCCTATCACACAAAACAATAACACCTGTCTTAGACGGCCACCTTAGTGACTCCATTACGCTTTGTCATAAATTGTGCATTGGCCCCTGGCGTTGTGGGCGAGCTGTCATAATTAAATCACCTGTCGTTGTTGCTAATGTCCCTCCAACTCCAACCGATCATGTTGCGTAGACCCCTCCCACTGTTGACCAATAGGTAACAATTTTTCATCTGCTGGTGGGGTAAGCGTGTGATCCCTCATAAGCATAAGCCCCGCCCAAAACTCATACAAAAATCGTGAGATGAGTGGTCACTGTTTACCCAGTGTGTAACAAAGTAACAATGGACGTCAAAATGAACATGAGACAGAAGCGTCGCTTGTTCTCCCCATGGTGGCGACCCATGTGTTTGTTTTACCATAGCACTTGGTCCTTGTCTGACACTTTTCGTTTCATTGTTGCCCTTGCACAAAAGCAGCAACAAAAGAAAAAAAGAGAACCCCCCCCCCCCCCCAGCGAAAACAACAACAGCAACAACAATAACAACAACAACAATGCAGCTACATTTGTGAGACCTCAGAATGGAATGGTTTGTTTTCTTCATCTTGATCAGTCCTGCCTAAGACGGCCACCTGTCTTAAACAGCCACTTTTCTCCTCGACAATGGGTGGCCGTCTTACACAGGTTCAACTATTACCAAATAATGTTCCAAGACATATTTCGCAGACTAATACCTCCTGTAGATGCTCCTGTCTGCGGGTGCTCCTCCGGCTTGTCCTCCTGTCCGCGGCTGGTCCTGGTGATGAAGACGTGTCAATTAATACAATTGTCTTGTGTCTCTACAGTTTCCATTTTTGTTTCAGAAAATAAAGAGTTGATATTATATTTTTACTACTGGTTTAAAAGGACATTAATAGACATCTGTAAGTAAATACGTTTTTTATTTTTCCTTTTCAGCAAAATGCAATTAAAAGCCTTACAGCCAGAAAATTGTAAAAGAATAAATACATTTATTTTTCTAACTTTTTTTCAATAATTAATATATTATGCTATTTGCACTGGGACATCTGACTGCAATTCATAGAAAGACAGAACAAAATGGTTTGGCCACCTGTTACGTATGTTACCTAGCCAGCCAGCCTTGAAAACCTATAATACCAAGCACTCAAGCTATAAAGGAAGAGGAAGGCCACGCAAAAGGTAGATTGAAGTTGTCGAGGAAGCCATGATGAATCATAATATCCGAACTGAAAGAGCTGCGGAGCTGGCCTACCATAGAAAACTGCATCTCCCCTCCATGCATAATGGCAACAGAGGATGAAAAAGTAAAAGTAAAAGTAAGTAATTGATCAATAATGTTCCAAGACATATTTCCCAGACAAATACCTCCTGTAGATGCTCCTGTCTGTGGGTGCTCCTCCGGCTGGTCCTCCTTTCTGCGGCTGCTCCTGGTGATGAAGACGTGTCAATTAATACAATCGTCTTACATCTATTGTTTCCATTTTTGTTTCAGAAACTAGAGTTGATATTATATTTTTACTACTGGTTTAAAAGGACATTAATAGAAAGCTTAAAGTAAATTTTTTAAAATTTTTCCTATTCAACGAAATGCAATCTTACACCTTGAAAACAAAATTTTAAATAAATAATTTTTTTCTTCTAATTTTACTTCAATAATTAATACATTATGCTATTAGCACTGGGACACCTGCCTGCATTTCATAGAAAGACAGAACAAAAAGGTCTGGCCCCCAGTTACGTATGTTACCTAGCCAGCCAGCCTTGAGAACCTATAACACCAAGCACTCTAGCTATAAAGAAAGAGAAAGGCCACATAAAAGATGGGCTGAGGTTGTCAAGGAAACCCTGATAAATCATAATATCCGAACTGAAAGAGCTGTGCACCTGGCCTACCATAGAAAACTGCATCTCCCTTAATGGCTTAACAGCTACAGACGATTGATTGAAAGATTGAGTAGGTGTTTTTCGTCCCTATCAACTCAATTTGCAACAGAGGATGAAAAAGTAAAAGTAGAAGTCAGAAATTGATCTATAATGTTCCAAGACATATTTCCCAGACAAATACCTCCTGCAGATGCTCCTGTCTGTGGGTGCTGCTCCGTCCGGTCCTCCTGTCCGCGGCTGGTCCTGGTGATGAAGATGTGTCAATTAATACAATCGTCTTACATCTATACAGTTTCCATTTTTCTTTCAGAAAATAAAGAGTTGATATATTTTCACTACTGGTTTAAAAGGACATTAATAAAAATCTGTCAGTAAATACGTAGGCCTGTTATTAT